TAAATATACACAACCTCACTAAAACCTAAAGATATGAACGAAAATTAATATGGTGAAATGGACATGCTTATATGCTATTTGTAATATGGAATTATTCTAACCTTTTTTCAGAGGTCTTTTGGGCATTCTATTAAATAGTAGAATATTCTAGTACTTTTACCAGTTTCCAGGGCTTAAATTATGTTTTATTATAGAAATTAGAGGCCCAGTGCACAAAATTCGTGCACTCGGGGGAGTGGGGGAGGTCCCTCAGCCCGGCCTGCACCCTCTTGCAGTCCAGGAGCCCTGCGATCAATTGCCCTGCAAAGGGAGGCCCCACCCACCCACCACAGTCCACTGGTCAGGGGCCTGGGCCTCCCTCTTTGGGGCGATCATGGGGCGATGGCGGGGCCCCCTGACCAATCGCATTGCACCCACCTTGGCTGGCCTGACGCCAGTGTGTGTCATAGTGTGGTCATCCGGACAGTCGTTCTGCTGTTTGGTCATTCAGTCAATTTGCATATTACGCTTTTATTATTATAGAAGATATTCACATATACACAAAAGAAAGAGAATTATATAATGGACCACAATATACCTATCAACAAAAGAAAGTTCAAGTCCACCCGGTGTGCCTCAGTGGTTTAGTGTGCACTTATGAACCAAGAAGTGATGGTTTGATTCCTGGTCTGGGCACATGCCTAGGTTTTGAGCTCAGTAGGGGGCATGCAGGCGGTAGTAGATCAATGGTTCTCTCTCATCATTAATGTTTCTATCTCTCTCCCCCACTCCCTTCCTCTCTGAAATCAATATATATTTTTAAAATTTTTAAAAAGAAAGTTCAAAACTATAGGAAATGTTTATAAGAGTTTATTACAGTTTATTATTGAACCAAACTGAGGATATTCCCAGAAGCAATATCTCAACAGATTGAAAAAATGCTCTGGAGAATAGCAGTTTTGCGTTAGAAATGTGTAAGGAAGGTACATGAAATCCTCTGATGGTGTGGATTAAGGAGTGGGGAGAAAGCAAAGCAGTCCAATCTCTAGGACTTGGACAAGAGCAAAATGGAGAGAGACAAACTTTTACATTGGTGGGTACAGGATAGTTAACACTGAACGTACACAGTGTATAGAGTTAATATTTAACATTTACAGTGTATATAAATAGTTAACATTTAACATGCGCCTGTGAGGGTGGTTAGGCCTTGAGGGGTCTGGGAAAGAAGATTACTTTGGTATTTCAAAGGTCTGTTATCCTAGATTTATAAGAACAATGAATGAGACTCCTTTAAGATAAAGGTTAACCTTTTAGTAAGAAAAATATAAGCCTGGGGTGTGATTACCACTGTGGCCTGTCCAGTTAGGAATGTATAATCAGATCATTTTGTGTAGTTACTTCTGTGGCTTTTGAGCTTGTCAGGTTTCCTACATAGCTATACCTATAATCTAGATTCAATAATTATCCAGAGTTTGCCTCCATTGCTTTATCTATCCCTGTTTGCTTCCCCTCCTCCCTTTTTTGTTACTTGAGTACTCTAAAGCATATCCCAGCCTTCATATCACTTTACTTTGTCTAAAAAATTTAATTATTTTCTTACATAACCATATTCCATTATTACACCTAAAATTAATAACAAATCCTCAACATCATCTAATATCCAAACTATATTGAAATTTCCTCAATTACCTAAAAAAGGGGTTTTTTTACATTGCTTTGTTTGAATCAGAATTCAAACATATTAATTGAGTTATTATGTCTTTTTAGTGTGAAGCAGTTCTTCTGACCTTTTTTTCATGCACTGACTCAAAGAAACTGATCAATGCTCTCACATTCTGGATTTTTCTACTTAAAAAAAATATATTTTAAATCCTCACCTGAAAATATTCTTTTTAATTGATTTTAGAGAAAAAGGAAGGGAGAGGGAGAGAGAGAAACATCGATTGTTTGCCTTCCTTCACATACCAACCGGGGATTGAACCTGCAACCTGGGCATGTGACCTAATTGGGAATCAAACCTGCGACCTTTTGGTGTATGGGACAATGCTCCAACCAACTGAGTCACACTGGCCAGGATGGATTTTTTTACTCTTTTAATTCAATTTAATTTGTCTTTTTGTTACTGGGTTGTAAATATGGTTAATTAAAAAAAATGTTTTTATTGATTTTTTTTAGACACAGGAAGGGAGAGGGAGAGAGAGATAGAGACATCGATGATGAGAGAGAATCATCGATTGGCTGCCTCTTGCACACCCTCTACTGGAGATCAAGCCCAAAACCCAGGCATGTGACCTGATCAGGAATTGAATCCTGACCTCCTGGTTCATAGGTCAACGCTCAACCATCAAACCACACTGGCCAGGCAGTAAGGTTAGTTTTTTTTTAATTTGCTATTCAGAAATCATTTCAGATTTTCAAAATGATGGAAAAATAGTATCAAGAACTCCTACACACCTTTAACCCAGATTTCTCCAATGTTAACATTTTACCACACTTGCTTTATTCATTCTATTTTGTTGAAGATAAGATGCCCTTTACCTCTAAATACTTCAGTGTATTTCCAAGAACAAGGACATTTTTTTTTATAACAACAGGGTAATGGTCAAAATCAGAAAATAATGCAAGGTCACGAACTAATCTACAGATTTTATTCAAATTTCACCAATTTTTCTTCTAATGTCCTTTGTCAGATTTAGGCTTTCAAGTCTATTTTAATATTTCTTACCTTTCAGGCATTTGTACCTAAAAAAAAAGTTACTACCAATTGCTATTACTAGTCCCCAAACTTGTTTGCACATTAGAATCACCTGGAGATCTTTTAAAAATTCCTAGAGAAAATTCTTAAGGAAAACAAAGCTGAAGGGATCACACTTTCTGAATTCAAACTATATTGCAAAGCTATAGTAATTAAAACAGTATGGTACTGGCATACTGTACAAGAACACACAATAGAGAAAGGACAGTCCCTTCAATCAGTGATGTTGAGAAAATTTGACAGCCACATGCAAAAGAATAAAACTGGACTTTTATGTTACACTATACACAAAAATTAAGTTAAAATGGATTAAAGACTTGAACTCAACACTGGAAACCATAAAACTCCCAGAAGAAAACATAAGCAGTGAGCTCCTTGACACAGGTCCTGGTGATGGTTTTTTATTCTGACACCTAAAGCAAAAGCAATACAAGCAAAAATAAGCAAATGGGACTACACCAAACTAAAAGCTTATGTACAGTAAAGAAAACCATCAACAAATGAAAAGGCAACCTACTGAGTGGGAGAAAATACTGTATTTGCAAATCATACATCTGACAAGGGGTTAATATCCAAAATACATAAAAAACTCATACATCTCAACAGCAAAAATAAAATAAAATAAAATAAAATAATAATAATAATAATAAAATAAGAACAAACACAAAACAATCCGATTTAAAAATGGGTAGCCTGGCTGGTGAGGCTCAGGGGTTAAGCATCAACCTATGAAGCAAAAGGTCAAGGCACATGCCGGGGTTGCAGGCTCAATCCCCAGGGGAGTGCCTGCAAGAGGCAGCTGATCAATGATTCTCTCTCATCCTTGATGTTTCTATTTCTCTCTCTCTCTCTCCCTTCCTCTCTGAAATCAATAAAATATATATATATATTTTAAATGGGCAGAAGAGCCCTAGCCAGTTTGGCACAGTGGATAGAGCGTTGGCCTGTGGACCAAAGGGTCCTGGTAGGATTCCGTCAAGGGCACCTACTTTGGTTGCACGCTCCTCCCCCACCTGAGCCCTGGTCACGGCTCCTGCAGGAGGCAGCCGATGGATGTGTTTCTCTCACATTGATGTTTCTGTCTGTCTTTCCTTCTCTCTTCCACTCTCCCTGAAAATCAATGGGGAAAAAAATCCTCAGATAAGGATTAACAAACAAAAATTAAAATTAAAAAAAAATTGGGCAGAAGATATGAGTAGACATTTTTCTAAAGAAGGAATACAGATGGACAAGTACAAGGCCGAAATGTGAGTTTCCTGAACCACAGGCCCGGAGAGGACTTAGGTGACCATCTCCATAAACTTCAAGCTGGGAGTAAACCCAATCGCCCACTAGGAAGAGTGCAGCATGAGTGGGTACAGAATCCCGGGGTACACAGGCCTTTAGGAAATGGGGGAGTAAGAAATCTGGCACTGGCACCAACTTGCTTAGGGCCTGATAAGGAAGAAGAGGTTTTTACATCACTTGGAGGAGCGACTGTGGTTCTCCTGAAGGTACCTCCTGTAACTCACAGGGCGGTGAGTTCCCCAGACCCAGTAGAGACCCCAAAGTCTAACTTGGCATGGGCTTCAGTTAGGGCTTTGGCTAAAAGAGGATGCGAGCCACGGTGCAAGCTGGCCTGACCACGAGGAAGTCACTTGTGCAAGGAAGTCGGGTCTGGACTTCGGAGGAGAATGCGTGCCGGCGGGGAACTGAAGGTGCAGCCGTGCCA